CACCTATGAAGGGTAAGTTATCACATGGCTGTAAAACAGTTCCCTTTGTTCACCTATAAAGAGTAAGTTATCGCATGGCTGTACAACAGTTCCCTTTGTTCACCTATAAAGAGTAAGTTATCGCATGGCTGTACAACAGTTTCCTTTGTTCACCTATGAAGGGTAAGTTATCACATGGCTGTACAACAGTTCCCTTTGTTCACCTATGAAGGATAAGTTATCACATGGCTGTACAACAGTTCCCTTTGTTCATCCATGAAGTGTAGGTTATCACATGGCTGTAGAATAGTTCTCATGGTATATCTAGTATAAACAAATTTGCTACTTGAAGAACACTTTTACAAGTTCTTGACATTACAAACTTTAGGTGAGTCGAATCGTATGACCTGAATCTAATTGAGAGTTTTGATGACCAAATATTATTAGCAAGTATACAAACTTGGTCCTGGTCTATTATGGATCCTTTCTAGCGTTTCGGTTGGTTGAACAAACTAGTCGGTCGATCAGAAAAGCGATACTTAAAAAAATATAACCATGTAATAAACCTAGGCGTGACCCCAGTGGTTAGCGTGCCGGCTGCAGATCGTGAGATCCAATGTCCAAACTGCAATAAACCGGTAAACACATTCCATACTTTCAGCTGTTGGGGAGTTACAATGTGGCAATCATTCTCGCTACTTGGTTAAGAGTAGCACCTTAGGCGGAGAGTGCTGCTGAAAAGTTAGCCTCCCTTTTGCCGTCGGCACTCTAAGTTATGGAGAGATATGCCTAAACATTAGAAGCTTCTAACCTGGCTGTTTAACTTATGTGTCACTTTAAGATGTCGTTTCAGGTCAAAGATAACAAAACGTATCGTAGCGAAGTGGCTGAATAATAGAGATAATATAAGAATAATCGAAATAATACATATTATTACTGAATGAAGATTGATTGGGAGTAAAACATATCATTTTCAGGTGACTCTCTTTCTTACCACAACGAAACTCGGTTCTCCACCAAAGATAGAGATAACGACAACTCGTCTTCTAATTGTGCTGTAAGTCGATTTGGCGCATGGTGGTTCAGAGATTGTGCACATAGCCATCTGAACGGTGTCTACACGTCTGGAGGAAAAACTGAGGCTAATGACCACGGCGTATTCTGGTATAATTTCAGAAGCGATTGGAAGTTTTCACTGAAAAGGTCTGAGATGAAGATCAGGCCTGAATTTTAGATGGTGCTGAAGCTGAGAACATCAAGTTAATATGGACTAATTTTAAAATGGAAGTTTATAATTTTGATCAATCATCACAAAGTTTTCTGTTTGGGTTTTATTTAGGTTGCCTTTTATTACATGACATGCCAAGATCATTTTAACCCGTGAAATAAATATACTAATTGTGTATAAAAATTTATGTTTAAAAACAGGGAAGAAACAACACCATGTTTATCTCTTTACATTTAACACTCAGGTTACTGACGTGTTTTATACAGTTCACTGCAGGTGGGGATCTAGATTTTGCATCGTACTAAGTAATTTAATGTTTTTGCCTATTACAACACAGATTGTAAAGAACTGGCCAACAGAAATGGAGTAAAATCACTCTTTTGTTTATGTAAAATACATAGGGAATTCCAGCAGTAATTTAAATTAAATAATTATAATATTGACGGCATATTTGTCTGGATGTTTTGTGTGACTCGTGTAACCAACGGATACACAAGTTTAAAAAAATCAATGGGTTGGGCATCGCCGATACTTTTTTGGTTAAATGCGAAGACGTGTTGGTTCGTGAGCTGTTTACGACTTATGCAAATGAAGCAGAGAATCAACACTGGATACATGATCATCACTGACAATATTCCTACGATGTGTGCTGTTTGTTAACCGGTATTCGAATTTAAAATTCACAATAAAATTTAGATAGATGTTAATTAAAACGATGAATAAAATAGGTGTTTATTATGTCAGGTTTATTTGTTTTTCATGGTGATGAATATAAAGTTTTCAATAATACATCATGTCATTGTTGCTGTCAAATTACAAAAGTATAAAAATAAATTAAGAGGTGATATCTTATGTTTTCTAAACTGCTAATATTGTTGATTTATAATTAGATAAATATTTACAGTTTTGACATGATAGCCATGGAAGTGTAATCATAACCTGTTTTTCTCTCTCAATAAATACTTGTTATGAAACCGAGTCTTTTATGATGTAACCAATGTTTCGAGAAATACATTTACACCAAAAATTGACCATAAATTTATTCACAGTAAATCCATGAATTGTTTACTTTTATTTCGTAAATTATTATGAACAGAAATCAATTTTTTTTTTCAACCACATAAAAGTAATATAATTTTTCGCAAACCACCCGAAATCAAACTTGTAACAATCTTGGTCTTAGTTTTACTTGAATAGTTTTCTAGTAGCAAAAAATTCTGAAATTATCTTATTGATAAGTAGCTTCATGATAATTATATGTTACATGCTGCCTCTCAGTGGCACAGCGGTAAGTCTGTGGACCTATAATGCTAGAAATCGGGCTTAGATACCCGTAGTGGGCACGGCACAGATAGCCCATTATGTAGTTTTGTTCTTAAGTACAAACAAACAAATGTTACATGCTCAAATACTCCGTTGTTGATAACATTGTGGTTAAGGTAAGCTCAACAATTATAATTAAAAAAAGACACCAGATGAGTTGTTGGATTTTTTAGCGAAAAACTACACAATTGCTATCTGTGCTCTGTCCACCTCAGAGAATCGAGGTCCAGAATTTAGAATTGTAAGTCTGGAACTTACCGCTGACCCACCGGGAGATCACCACATAAGATTATGCTATTCCTAGTTGTTCTGTTTTTCAACTTCAGTCAGAAACTTTAATATAAATCATGAAAGAAGCAAACCATCTGAAGATTTTTTCGAATAATTACAATAAACCAATTATTCTATAACGTGTCCTACCCTTTGTGTAATCAATGTTTTCAAAAACTTGTGAAGCAAAGTATGCGTTTCTATAAGTCTTCATTCATACTCAGTTTTGATTTTAAGGTAAATAATAAGTGCATTAGTAATTGCCAAAGAGTTCAGAATTGAAAGATTTATTGTAACAAGTTCACAAGACAAGGTACATCTAATACATTCTGATTATAAGTTATATACATATATATAATCACAGTTCAGGACAACAGCGTTTGATAAACAATCTATTTCATAAAACAAAAACTATGTTGTTCTCTAAATGTATCAAATGCCAAGTCACACTTTTAAACAGCCACAACTTGTATAAGTAATTTTTCAACGTTTTTACGGAACTTTTTTGGCATTGTGTGACGCAAAAAAACAACAAAAAACAACAAAACAGATTGGGTGATAAATCACGGATACTTACAACAGCTGCCATCGTTATACAGTGATGAGACATGTTAAACGTACAGATAATTAAATCTTCCAAAAAATGGCCTTCATTTGTCATTATATTAGTTCTATATCAAATGAACATGGAAAGCAATACCATACATTATACTCGGATACATATTATAAAAAAAACTATTTTGATGAAATAATCTAGCTTTTAAGATGCACAGTCTCAGCTAAGACTTAAAAATTCAATATTTGTCGTAGGTCATTTCCATTATTAAACTAACCATTAACATTTAAATTTCAGTTTCGTTCTTATATTACATAAAGTGAAAAGTAACTGGCAGTTTTCTCTCATTTCGATGGTTTTAAATTCTCGTCTAAGAAATACTTTGGAAATATTTTTTGACAATTTATATAGGTAGAGGTAAAAATTAGTTGTCCCAATTCGTATTACAAAGGTTATCAGTATGGTAATGATTTGTTTGTTTAATCTCGTGCAAAAGGTAATAGTTTCTTGCTTCTATTTTACTTTTCTTAGCTCAGCAAGTTAAGTATCCATAGTTTCTTGTCTCTGTTGTACTTTCCTTACCTCAGTAAGTTAAGTATTCATAGTTTTTTGTTTCTGTTGTACTTTCCTTAGCTCAGTAACTTAAGGAGACAAGAAAACTATGGATACATAACTTGCTGAGCTAAGAAAAGTTCAACAGAAACAATAAAACTATGGATACTTAACTTACTGAGGTAAGAAAAATACAACAGAAACAAGAAACTATGGATACTTAACTTACTGAGGTAAGGAAAGTACAACAGAGACAAGAAAACTATAGATACTTAACTTGCTGAGGTAAGGAAAGTACAACAGAAACAAGAAAACTATGGGTACTTAACTTACTGAGGTAAGGAAAGTACAACAGAAACAAGAAAACTATGGACACTTAAGTTACTGAGCTAAGGAAAGTACAACAGAAACAAGAAAACTATGGACATGTTGTACTTTCCTTACCTCAGTAAGTTAAGTATCCATAGTTTTTTGTTTCTGTTAAACTTTTCTTAGCTCAGCAAGTTAAGTATCCATAGTTTTCTTGTTCCTTGTACTTCCTTACCTCAGCAAGTTAAGTATCCATAGTTTTATTGTTTCGTTACTTTCCTTACCTCAGCAAGTTAAGTATCCATAGTTTTATTGTCTCTGTTGTACTTTCTTTACCTTAGTAAGTTAAGTATCCATAGTTTTCTTGTTTATGTTGTACTTTTATTAGCTCAACAAGATAAATATCATCTCTCAATACAACACGTGTTTTCAATTCAATTGAATATAAACAAACATGAGATATAGTTGTTACTCGATTGTGGATAACCAACTTTTGCTTCCTCTTGTATTACAAGACAAAAAAAGCAAATTTGAAATTCTTTGCTACGACATTTGAACAAATGACTGAAAAGTTTAGGAAATATTAAAATGTATTAACATACAAACATTTCGAATAATAAAAGAGAATTATAAGTCTTCTTCAATACAACTTTTACGGCAATGTGGATTATAAAATGCCCAAATGAGTTAACATTTTAAAGTATTCACGCATTATTGTAGAGAAACAACATCAGAATTTTGTAAACAAGTTTTAGTTAACAGTATACAATACTACGAAACAGCATTAATAAAGACTCGTAATTATATACATAATGTATCTTAAAATAGGGGGAAAAAAAACAACATGCGTTGAAACCCATGAGAAAATATTTTTTTAATTTTAGGCTTTTTACGACAATAACAGTAAATCGTCACTCCTAATATTCAGAAGCGCGTAAGGTCAACAGAAGAGAAGTTAGTACCAGAAAAGAAAGCCGATAATTCGAGTGCTTTTGGAAAGTAGATTTTCCTTCATCAGGAGTGAATGTTTGATATCCACTGTATGTATGGTGATCAGTTATATAGTTGTTATACCGGAAGTGAGATGTCACAAACTCCTAATAATATGACATCAACTGTGAAATAGCATTGTGTGTATGTGATGTGTAAGTTGTGGGAAGCAAAGAAAAAGAGTAATTTTGAAATAAGCACGACTTACAAGAAAATGTGTTTATGTAAGAAATAATGTTCAGAACGGTATGTATTTTTCTCATAAAGAAAAGTTGGACTGAAGAGGACACGGGAAAGTGTCGAAACCTGTTTCCATGTAAACTTCTTGTTCCGACAATAGTGGATGTAAACTTTATTTTATTTTAAATGTTCAGAACATTTGAGAGATTGATCCACAAAAGTACTTAATGAGACAGGGACTGGAACAACCTTAAGAAATGAAATCTAGTAATTATACACTTATCAATTTGAACATAAAAATAATAGACATTAAATAACCCTAATGGCAAGCTTGATGGCTTATGCACTAAAAACCATGTAAAGCAAAACGCAGACAGCCCATTGTATAACTTTGCCTTAATTAAACACAACCAAAGAGATATTAGATAAAAAATTATAATACAGAGATTAAAATGTTTTAAATTAAGAAATGAGAGTAAAAACGTCATTACTACGATAAGAAATAAATTAATTTCAAAACAAAATTTGCTAAGATTTTCCAGAAATACTTTGGGTTAAAGAGCGAAGATAATTAAAACCGGGGTCAAAGTTCATACCATATAGGATGACAGCGTCAAAACACTCATCCTGTAGGCCTGTTCTATTTTTCTGTCGGTATTTGATTTAGACCCGGTTTCAATACCAGCGAGAACTATGTCATTTGTGGAGTGGTCAGGCTGGTTGAAGCGTAGGCTACAAGATCTATATATGTATTGACAGAGGATTTGAGGTTATTGAACCGTCCTCTAGCGGTAGTTTGGGTATGTTCAACATACCGATGAGTGCATTGTTTTCACTGTACAAGATATATCATGTTTGAAGTTGAAAAGAGATTGGCTTTGTTGTGCTGTAATGGTTTTTCTCTTGTTAGTCAGGGAAATTTCCGGTAGCGGTGATAACGTCTGTCATCCAGCTAAGTTACAAGGGGAACAGGTATTCTGTGGCACGGTTTAATTGATTTTTGCAGGAACAAAATTATATCTAAAGCTTTTGGTTTTCAGAAGAAAACAACAGGAAATTCTAAGAGCATTTGATTTAGACGCGTACTGAGCTGAGGAAGAGGAAAATATTTGTTTAAAGGGTCGTAAAGTATTTTCAGGTTTTGGAAATATTTGTTAACCAGAGGAACTATTATATTGTTTAAAATTTGTATGGTTGAGGGACAAAACATATGGAATTTTGTCAGCTTTATAATTTTTTTTTTATTTCGGAAATTTTACAGCCTCTTTCTTACATGAGTATTTTTACTTCCAGAGTCTCATTATGTTTTGTAATCATTATTCTCAGCGCAGACACTTTTCATGTGAAAAGTTAGACTGTTGGTAATGTTACGATTGATATATGATGGATGGCAGCTTTGATGGTGGAGTTATTATTGTGAGTTTGTCCAACATCATAATGTTTATGTATTTTCATGATATGAAAGCATAACCAAGATATCTGGGATATTCAATGTTATAGATTAATGAGGTGAATTTATGAACTTAGTTTTTTTGAAATGATCTATTTCCAATATAATAATTTAGAATAACTTACTCCTGTAAAACAAAAAATCATTAATGTTAAATAACTAGTACGATTTGTGCAATTGTTTCTCACCAATAAATATTTTAACAGTTCTATACAATTTTGTATTAAAATATATTATTATGGTACAAATATAGCGAGTTTACAATGTTGGGCACAAGCAAACTATGCGCAACTGGATAATAACTGATATGGCAACATGGTGAAATTGTTTGTTTTGCGGAAATCTATCAGATGATGTCAGGCGAAACGTCGCCTTTAATTTTATTTATGTTTTTAATTATCCCAGCTGAAAACTGGATGAAATTGTTAAGACGAAACAAGTTATCTTCTCAATCACAAATTGCATTGATTTCACACATTTAGGTCCGCTAACGTTCTTCTGAAGTCAGTCAAGTTGAAAGAAGGATCCTGATCAATGTCCACAAGTTCCTCATGGTAGTTTAGCCGATGCCAGATGGGGCTGTGCCGCGATATTCTGAGCGGACATGGTAAAAGTTCAGGCATAACTGAATGATGGGTGATTAAGGCCGAAAGAGTGGAAAACTCTTTTGTAAAGCCCTTCAAAAGATATACAATTATAGTAGTAGTAAGCAATGAGGTTAAAATAATTTCTCAAACGTCTCAAAAGAAATTAAACTTAAAACATTTCGTATTTATTAAATTAGCTCAGGTGCAGACTCCAGCTATTTTCGCATGGTATAAAAATAGCATCAAACTCAAAAGAATTACACAAATATTAATAATAATAACAAACTCGACAAGACTTGAGAAAGAGACTGAAGCAAAAAAGTATTTATAAAAAAATGATAAATTACCATTGTAATTTTTTTTTGCCTTTTGATTTCGCATTGAGCCACTGAAAGAAGTTTCACACTATATTGTATACTTTTACTTGCTTTCACACTATATTGTATACTTTTACTTGCTTTCACACTATATTGTATACTTTAACTTGCTTTCTGGCACACCAGCAAATTACATTTTTATGTTTTCAGTAAAACTATGGGTAAAATTTTGTAGCTGCATGCTTTATGAAGTGAAATGTTTTACCTTTATTTTATATCCACGAATGGTTTTCAAGATAAGGTAATGAGCGATTCCAGTGGGTTGGAAAGTTAACGGTACACGCAGAGAGAGAGCGTAACATCCAGGTTTACTTGTACTTTTTCGCACTAAAAATGATCCAACCGGCTCATTGGCAATAACTTCAAGAACTATTTCCCTATGGAAAAAAAAACAACAAAACAAACACAATAAATAAACAGACGATAGGGGATCTCAGACTAGACATGTTGTCATACACGTCGAATCAATGTTATTTTACTGACAGAATGATTTTTATGAATGATAAGAAAATAAAATATTAAAAGTAGATTTGATCCCTGGTGGTAATAGAACGAATTTAAAGAACATATTCTGCTGTTACACAATACAGATGCATATGGTTGATAACTTAATTCTAAGAAATTTAATAAGAAAGAAAATATAAGGAGAAATATTATATAGTAAGCTTTCTCGCCAAACGGTGGCGGCACTTCATGGAGTACAAAGGTTGGTGCTAATGATGTTTGGTGAAAGTAATGGAGATAGAGTGGTTTATACTGCAATTCAAAAATTAATTCCCTTCCCAGTTCTTGTGATTGATAATTAAGTTAATTGAAATAGATAATAAATGAATAACTAGTTATAGATACTGTTGTGATATTTATTCTCATCCTAAAAATCTGATTTGTAGATGATTTAACTGAAATTTATTATGTTTGATGTTTATTATTGAGCACAAAGCTATACAAAGGGTTACTTGTGCTCTGCCCACCACGGGTATCGAAACCTGGTTTCTAGCGGTACAAGTCCGTAGACATATCGCAGTTCATTTGCGTAATATTCGCACCATAACAGTCATTGTTCATCTATATAGCTCATAGAACACTACTATTTTATTGTATCCCAGTCATCCTGGTGAGCCCTGGTATTGGGAGAAAGGGATAGTCGGCACTGGATATGACAGATGTAGTGTGGTTAACATATTCTTTGGTTTCAGTTATGGGCTCTTAGATTTAAAAATTATTTTTACTGTTATATCGGCTACGTGTTCCAAACCAGATATGAAAATAGATCTGTTTTCAGTGACAAAACGTGCTATGCATATTTTACACCAGTTCATTGATTTGGGTAGTTGATTAGCTTCGGATCCGCACAGATTAAGAATTCAGTCAACAAAACCAATAATGAGAGTTAAGATCTGATACGAGAAATCGATCAGTTGTTCAACGTAGAAACAATTTTAATCCTGCTTGAGTTTAGAGAATTAATCGTACATATGCAAATATAGTCAGTATTGTTTACAAGCGTACGAATTTTCTTGTAGAAATGTTTGTTTCTAACTAATTATCTTTAACATGATTAAACTTGTTTAACAGCAGTTTCGTGACGAACGATCGAACAACACTAACAAATCTCGTGCAACAGAAAATGAAAGCTCACGGTAAACAAGATTACTCTCCCTTCTTTTAATGGATTAAAGAACAATCGGCGCATGGTTTTTACATATATGCGGTTCTCTTCACACAAAAATACCAAAATTGACGACAGTTTTGCACCTAATACTTAATATATTTTTTTTTATCGTTTACATGCTTTGTATATATATATATATATATATATATATAAAGATTTATTTAAACTTTATATTTTTCTTTCGTACTGTGCTGCTTTTAATAATTACTATAAGTGTATAAATGGATAAAGTTTTATTTATTTTATTATTTTAAAATGCCCAGTGAGTAGCGAAAAGTTTGTGAACCTAAGAATAACAATATTAGGTGTCAAACCGGTAAACTCCAGCCTGGTTAGCTGGTTGTTTGAAAGCGTACTTAGAATAATAACAAGTTTATGATAACTGGAACTGAGCCACACTTCTTTCTACTTCGTCCTCCGGTGGGTCAGCGATAAGTTTACGGATTTACGCTAAACTCCGGGGTTCGATTCCGGCAATGGATACAGCTTACAGCCCAATGTGGCATAGCTCTAAAAAACACATGCATTTTCTACTTTATCCTCCGAAACAGTTAGTTTTATCTTTACTACTTTATAAACAATTCAGATTTTTCTCACACAGATCAAATAATACAATAAACCAGAATTACCTAGGAATCCCTGCCTGAAACCAAGCTGCTTCACGAAGGCCCCTTTCTTCCGACGTAGTGGGCTCCAGTGAGTCGTGCCTGAAATAAAGGATAATGTAGAACATCGTAAAATGTCGACTGTATTATTCGTAAAAATGCGATTTCTACTTTGTGTCAATCGATTGTATGTTCTGGGTTATTTTAAACGCTATTATATAATAGTTAGTGTAAATTGATTTAACAAAATTGTTACATTTGCACGTTTCTTTTAATTAAAATCATTTTCACTTAAGTACTAATTCTAATTCCTGACATCAAAAAGAAGAAAGTTTATACTTATAAGTATTCTATTCAGAGGTTCTGCTGAATACTGCCTTTTTTACACAGTTGTAGGTATTCTGTTTAAAAATTCTACTGAATACTGTTCCTTTCACATTGTAGGCATTCTGTTTTAAGGTTCTACTGAATACTGCTCCTTCCACATTGTAGGTATTCTGTTTAAAGGTTCTACTGAATACTGTTCCTTTCACATTGTAGGCATTCTGTTTAAAGGTTCTACTGAATATTGCTCCTTTCACACAATTGTAGATATTTTAACTATTTACAGTCTTAAAGAATATTTCTCTTTCTCACTGTTCTATTTATTTATCTGTTTAATAGTCTTACGTTGATACTCCTACATTTACAGCTGTAGATATTCTAACTGTTTACAGGTTCTAATAACTATTGCTCCTTTCACACAATTGTATATATTTAACTGTTTACTGGTCGTACTTAACAGTGCTCCTCACACAGCTTTAATTATTCTGTTTACAGTTCTTAATGAATACTGCTGCTTTCACATAAACAAAGCGTCAAGACGTACGATTATAGATATACAGAATACAGGTTTATATTTTTTTGGTGGATTACATTTGTTTTATAAACAAGTGTGATATTCGATTATTTTACCTACCTTTCTGGTGGTGGTGGTGGTGACCAACCATCATTCCTGGTTATCATCTGGGTTGTAAATCCTTGATCAAGAGAGCCTTCTGAAAGAGAACGCAGCTGTGGTAGATTTTTTAACGTTATGGTATTGCTTGGTGAAGTAATATTGGAATCACAAGGAGGTAGGCAGTGAAGATTAGTCATAGTGCTATGATTTTCCGGTAGATGGAACTGCATGTCGAGAGCTTCATTTACGAACTCACGCTGTTCGAATTAAAATGTATTTAATTGTTTCAAATTTAAATATTAAACACACAAACATAATTACAAATAAGCATATTGAAATGTATACTCAGTTAACGACATTGTTTAATGTAAATGTTATGTACTTCTATAAGAAATTTCATGGTAGATTTTAGATAAAAGTAGGCGGATAGTTGCTCCCACATTTAAATATCTTGTGTGAGGATAACATATCATGTGGAGTATCACAACTTGTTGGTTCTTTGACATTATGTGGGCAAACTTATGTTCTATTCTAGCCTTTTAAAACAGGTGTAAATGAAAAAAAAAGGGTAAAAGTAAAGTTTAGACTACTCCTTATAATAAAAAATGTAGAAACAAAAGTTACTTCCAATTACTACATGTTTTTATATGATTAAAATAAACCTCAAACTTTAGACGCCAAATATTTGTCAAGATTCATTGATTTTGTTTGATTTACTTTCTTGGGCCATATAATAGTATGCCATTCAAAATTAGCATCTCGTTAACAAATTGGGTTTTTATTTAAAACAGTCGAGCGTTCCCTTTGAATCTAACAGCAGAGAGAAAGTTGTATAACACTGAAGAAAAATGAGACCTAAAAATATTTCTTTCTTTCATCAATAAACCTGAATAAAGTTGGTGAAGAAAATAATCAATTTATTAATTACTGATTGATAAAAAGTAGGATGGATGTATTAACAAGTCTTCTAAGTTAATAAACGTTTGTAAACAGTAAAATACAAGTAAGCTGGTATTTGTTTGTTTTTTTTCCCCCATAGTCCTTGCGGAGCCGATCTTGCTCTGCCATCGTTTTTAAAGCTGTTTCTTACGTCAAGGACAGCCTTCCCTCTTTGAAAGGACGAGCATGTTTGGTGTGACGGGGATTCGAACCCTCGACCATCAGATTGCGAGTTGAGCGCCTTAATCCACCTGGCCATGCCGGGCCGGTATTTGTTTGTACTTTCTAAATTCAATTGAACTTGGTTCAGTTGTATCACACTGAAAGAAAACACTAAACTTCCATCTGGTGGTAAGGGACTTCCTCAAAATATTGATTTTAAAATGTTAATAATACTTCTTAGTAAATAAATACGACACGTTATTAAAATACTGTATTATATTAGGGAAGATAGTAATATAAATACTACAGATAGCCCATTTTATAGCTTCGTGCTTAACAACAAACTAAACAAAATAACTTAATGTTTCGTGTAGGTATAGGGAACAACACTTTTCCTAGATAGCAGTACTGAAAACAAAATCTATTATCTAGATATTTTATGCAAAATAGTTTAGAAGAAAGATACAATACCTTTATGTAATAGAACTCACAATTTAAATACTTTTAACAGTTTTTGAAACAGTTTTAACAGTTTTTCCAATTTTTGAAACACATCCTCCGGGGCACAGCAAATATTGTCATTTGAACTAAGTTTTGACTGATGGCCAACAAATATAAGAACTTTGTTCTCCATAATTTTGTTGCAAGGCCATGTGGCAGCGATAGCAGCTCATCAAGTAATGGGATTCATGGATCCTGTTGCAAAGTACACTAGACTTTGGTATTTGTAAATATACCCAAATCACTTATTGGGGGTGGGGGGAGTTCATATTGTATATTAGATACGAGAACACTACCTACATAATATTAATAAATGAATGTTAGACAGTGAAACAAACATCTAATTTCTATTTTATTAGTGCTCATTAGAACATTCACAAATCAAAGAGCTAGAGAAAATAAAATATATATTAGAATAGTATATACTTGTTGTATTCCCAACGATGCTTAAGAAATGTGTATCAAATGAACCATTTATTCTTTAAGTCAATCGTTAATGAAAATATCAAAAACTTGTACACGTACGTTCTTACTTGTTTTTTTAATACAGCTCTCAGTCTCATTCAACATAAAACTCGATTGAAATTTTCTGTTGTGAACACGCTTAGGCGGAAGAGAGTACTTGGTATCTCTCCTCTCAACAAAAAAATCGTTACTGTTATCATCAGATTCATCGTTGGTTAGATCTACGGTTTTCACTAAAGGGGGCTTTTCCGGAAGATGTTGGTTCAAGTCTGTTGGAGAGTTGTTTTCACTACAGCTTGTACTGGATGTGGGGGTCGTTGGCGGGACTTCACCGGAACCGAAGTGAAGCGGAAGTGACAGAGACTGTCGGGCTACAGAAGACCACTGTGTTAATGTGGCCTCTGGTAGAGAGCTAATTTCTCCATCCATAGTTGTCCTAAACAAGTTGGGTTATATTATGGTGAAAGACCGTCACACTGATCACCTTTAGGACAATGTGCACTCTAAGTTAGAAGTATATTCTTGTCTTCATGTTTCACCTGTAAACAAACATACAATTTAGATGAAATCAGTAAATTCTAAGAATTTTTTTACCTTAAAAGAACTTGAATAAATGAAAGACTTGTAGACGCTTTTGTTGTTGAACATCTGTAGGCATTGATGTAATATTTCATCAGAAGAACAAATAAACGGTTGAGACACACGCTTGGATGTCCTTTAGTTAACAAGAAATGAGCATCCGTAAATTAAGATGTATGGTTACTTTAAGCTCCTATGGATGGATATACATATAAAAGTATTTAAATACTTTGTTGTAGTAGCTCTCTAAATGTACTGTTTATCTTCTTGTGTTTCTGTGTTGACGACATTTTAATGAAAAAAATTATATATTGGTAATTTTTTCACAAAAATTCTGCTTATTTAAACTACACATATTGGAAAACATTATTAAAATGTTTGGAACAGTTGATGAGTACAATTATCATGGATGTTAGAAGCATGAAGTATTACTATGTCGCTTTTAGTAATTCACAACCACACTTTCTCCAAACACACATTACTACACAGACTTTACTCACACAGTTTCAACCGACGAATGCTATTATACAGTTTCTTTCCAAAACATGCTGCTAAGCAACTGTCAATGACTCACAAACATATTCCTCCAAAAACACGTTTCTTGTTAATTTCAATGACCAAAACCACGATTCAGTTTCATCCAAACAAATATTACCATGTAACGTTCAATGACTCACGACCACTTTCATCCAAATAATTATTACTGTGTAACGTTCAGTGACTCACAATCAGTTTCGTCGAAACAAATATTACTGTTTAACGTTCAATGACTCACGATCAGTTTCATCCAAACAAATATTACTGTTTAACGTTCAGTGACTCCAAACCAACTTCACACATATTATTCTGCAACTTGCAGTTACTCGTATCCATCTTAACTCTTAAATTGTTTTCTTTAGTTTTCCTCTTGCAATCATATTTTTGTTGATTCAAGGTTAGTTTCTACTTGCTAAAAATGAAATTTTAAAATAAAGTCATGTCTTTTTTATTTTTACTGCAATAAGTCACCGTGTTCACTATTTTCTCTTTATTGAACTATATCACACTATAACGGCAAGATATCGTTTCTATAGGATTTCAACCGCAATCCCCAGCTTCATTTTATGTCAGAAATATTAGCTTTTTATTTCTGATTCGTCTGTTTCTAATCATTAAACACTGAACTTTCACAAATTTTCAGAGAAAGACTTTTACAGTGTGATTCAGGATTTCACTTACAAGCTGTAAGAAGCCCAGTAAGTCTGACACTGTTTTCTTCTACTACTACTAGAGGCCCAATACGTAAAACTCTAATGCCTTTTTATTCACATTCTAGACGTATTATTAGGGTGATAAGAAAAAAAGTTAACAAAAGTAGTTTTAAGTAATCCCATTGAAATTCATCGGTTTATATTGTAACGTACTTATCGAGCAAAAACAACCTGTGCAGTCGCATATACCGCTAGCAACAACAGATATATTAGACATTTACAGATATAATTATTTTGGATGCTAACAACAACAGATATCTTAGACATTTACAGATATAACTATTTTGAATGCTAGCAACAACACATATCTTAGATGTTTACGGATATGAATATCTCGAACAGTGTCAACAACAGATAGCTTAGATATTTGCAAACAACTAATGCTAGAAAACAACAGATATCATAATATCATGGATATTTACAGATATAATTATTTGAACGCTGGCAACAGCAGACATCGTAGATATTTGCAAACAACAACGATGTCTGCTGTTGCTAGCGTTCAAATAATTATATCTGTAAATATCCATGATATTATGATATCTGTTGTTTTCTAGCATTCAAAATAGATATTTGTAATATAACGTTCATGTGTTCATACGACAATTAGGTTTCTTACTTTAGATGTAGTAACTCGATGTTTCATAAGGACAGATATTATGGTATATGATGCTGTCTTGTCTTATACCCTATGTTTTGGTTCCACCTTCAGTTATATGCACTGTATTTAACGATATTTATACCATAGTAACTAAAGAAAAAAGCTCCATAAATAAGTGTATTTAATGTATTTATACCATAGTAACTAAAGAAAAAAGCTCCATAAATAAGTGTATTTAATGATATTTATACCATAGTAACTAAAGAAAAAAGCTCCATAAATAAGTGTATTTATACCATAGTAACTAAAGAAAAAGCTCCATAAATAAGTGTATTTATACCAACTGATATTTATACCATAGTAACTAAAGAAAAAAGCTCCATAAATAAGTGTATTTATTTATACCATAGTAACTAAAGAAAAAAGCTCCATGAATTAATGCAAATTATTTTTTTAAACAATATCTCTAATACCGGCTAATGAGATTTTGAGAAAAGATAATCAGCCATTTCTGTAATTTCCAGCTCAGGAGAATAAACTTCAGCGTTAAGAAACTTTAAATTAACGTTAAAGGAGAGGCGGTTTTTATTAATCTCCCAGGGGCTCAGCTGTAAGTCTGAAGGTTTATAACGCTAAAATCGGATTTCGATACCTGTGGTAGAGGTAACACAGATAGCCCATTGTGTATCTTTATGTTTAACAACCAACAAATAAAATTTTGTTAATATATCTGAAACAAAAAACAAAAACGCTGTAACATCAAACTGACGTATTGTTCAAACGTCTCCAGCTCGGGAAATTTTCTAACACATTGCTCAAGGTATATGATCCTTCCGCTTCAGGTAACTATGAAGTCAAATATTATCTGCAACGTTATTAAGAGCCTTGAACGTAGCGTGTAGTCGTTAGATGGCTCTGTCACACAAGATCTGCAATTTAATAATAGGCTTTGATTGTATCTTTAAGTTAGATGAAACCCACTTCATAAAATGAATTTATTTCCATGTCAATATAAACCCTAATATATGCTTGTAGAAATGTAGTACAGATATATCGATTTTTTGAAACGTTCTTGAGTTAAGACCGTGTTTACTATTTTAAAAATATTAAATCAACAACGTAATAAATCTTTTGTGTTATATTGACTTCAAAAACAACAACATAGAACCATTGAAATAGACAAGGAACAGAGTAAAATATTCTTTAGTTTACAGCAATAAAACAAAATATCGTTCATCCAGTTTTTATCCCTCATCCATTATCATCGTTGGTAACCCTTTAATCGACAACACGGTATCTTATATACATTTAATGCTGTTTCCTGGACTAGCTGTAACTTTTCATTATTAGTAAGTTTTATAATCCCTTAAAAAAAATATAATTTACTCACCCTCTGTAAAAGTCCCTGTGCAGTAAAAGCAAAGGCTTGAGTATAAAATGTGTCTATGTTGATTATATACATCTGTTTGAGATCTTGGTAGAGAGGCTCAGTTGAAGGTGAAAATAATATTCCTTAAAATCGTATATTAGTGAATTCTAACAGAAAACTATCCATCTACAATTAAAATATTGTTTTATTTACTGCATTTATCAGAACGTTTTTTTGTAAAACCTGCTCTAAGAGTAAGATCTAAAGATTGGAAAATTTTCAAACTTTATTTATTACTCTGTGGATGATGTTAGAGCCACAAGCGAGTCACATAAACTATCTAAACATGAAAGTAAGATCTTCTTTTGTCAGAAGTTTAGCATACACTCTAGTGGGAATATAATTCTGCGCCTCATGTTACATGAAAACTGTTAGTAATACATTTTTACACTCCGTTAAATGTTGTGAATGAAGTTTCATCATTATCGTTCCGCAGTTAACTGACCTGAAAGAAGTTAAAACTCTTCGTTCCACAGTTAAGTGATGTGGATGGAGTTAATGAGAAATAAATTTTACAAGCAATGATAAGGCTGTTACATCCAAACAATTATAGAAATGCAGGTTTTCAAGGTTTGTTCGACATATGACTGATGGGAACAAGGTTTTATATCTCAGGACACAGAGTTATTTGATGAAAATGGATCTTTACATTCCATGTAGACAGCTAGCTGGCGTGAATGATGTTTCACACTTAACTGATGGGGACTAGCATAAAGTACTCATTCTCCTCTGAAAGGTTCAAAAGCCCCCCTCAGGATTCACAGAGGCTCTAATGTACCGCTCAAGCCCCTCCATCATCCCCAATTTCGTACCCGAAAGAAACCCCCGTTAAGACACACGTTCGTGATTCTTGAAAATGAGTGTCAAGTTTGACCCCGCTAGCTTGTGAGTGAGGAAATGAACCTGGTTTCAAACCTGGCGCTCAGGTCAGAACACAAAATTGGATCCCAGATTCAGGTTCATCGATCCTGAGTGACCTTACCTTCTCTTTATATAGATAAGGACACCCTCGGACCACCTGGAATCTACCTAGCTTCAAAATCGTGGAATGACTTCACAGACAAGCAAACAAATTCACATAGAATATGAATTAACTAAGGATGAATAAACGAAAATACTGAAGAGTTAAAGTAAGTGTGTTTAGTTCTCACATGTTGTTAAATGAGTAAAAAGAACTTATTTCGGTAGCTTGTAATTCGAACTGCTATGTTTTATCCTCAGAACTATAGTGACTCAAAACTCTCAACGAAATGAAAATCAGTAGACTTGCACACAGATCGATCATGTCGATACTTATATCGAAATTCTTTGTCGACAAAGAGTTTTATCAGTAATACACTGGTATCAGTTTGGATACTTGACAAAGAGTTTTATCAGTAATACACTGGTATCAGTTTGGATACTTGACAAAGAGTTTTATCAGTAATACACTGGTATCAGTTTGGATACTTGACAAAGAGTTTTATCAGTAATACACTGGTATCAGTTTGGATACTTGACAAAGAGTTTTATCAGTAATACACTGGTATCAGTTTGGATACTTGACAAAGAGTTTTATCAGTAATACACTGGTATCAGTTTGGATACTTTATGCGACTGATCTGATCACCCCAACCTTAGCATAAGTAATTAATAACGCTGTTAAAAAAAAGGGTATTTTGCTGTGAGAAGAATGTTCTG